AAATATTATTTTTATGTAGGTGTGCAGCAAATTTTGCTGTTATATATAAATAGATTTAAAAATGTTTTATAATGCCATATTAGTCAAAGTACTTTCTCGTACATGTCAGTATACTTACTTTGTTCCAGTTTATCGTTCCCGTGTTACATTTTATTTAATTCATTGTGTTTTTCTTTGTCGCGAAATGCTTAATACCGTATCCCTATTCATCAGCAGATGATTGGCAGGTTGCATTATTCTCTCTCACGAATACTCAGCAAGACCGCCATTAAGCTTTTCCTTACACATTTGCAGGAACTTGTCAGAGACGGGAATCTTGCGGGAATGTCGATGTCGAAGAAGGCACGGTCGTTATATGCGTGTGCTCAATGTAAAATAGTGCAGCTATTTATTCGCCGTGTGCAACCATCAACGTTGATAATGGTGCATTTATGTATATGCTGAAAAGTGTAGTTCCTTTGTGACTCCATTCAAGCAGTGAACTTTCAAAGACACAAATACTGCGGAATCGTTTAGGTAGAATTTGCGCACATTATCCATTCCGTGTGTGTAATGATACTTACTGTGTATTTTGTTCACGCTATATGAATATTATGTAATATGTAGGTGATATATTAATGTTTCGTAATTAATCAGCGCATTACTTCTTTAGTGCTTCACTTCCTGATGTCACTCGTGAAATTAGTAGGTGAATTATTGATCAGGATATTAGTTCTTTTTTTCACAGTATTTGAAGGAACTAGAAACTTCAGACGAAACTCTGCTACCGCATCAGTGATTCTACTGCACAGAAGGGAATAGCGAGAGGATTTCAAGGATCACAGATAGATCGATCAGTCTGTTACCAATCGTCACAACAGTCCTGTCGAACTGGGTTCAAGAAAAACTGGACGCTGTGCAGTCAGATGTGAAAGCAGGAATCAGTAGATTTAGTATGCAGGAAATTCTTCAGGCAGTACAGCAAGTAATTCAGACAAACAACTGATATCAGTGCCCTCCCTGCTTACGGTTTGACGATTTCAAGAAAGCTTTCGATTCAGTCTGCATCGGTTCTGTACTGGATTATTTGAATAGGCAGAGAATTGCAAAAAGATACATAAACCAGATCGCCATGATTTGCAAGAATTCAATTGCTGGTCTGAAATTTCACGAAAACAGAAGCTGGTTCAGATTAAAACTGCGGCCAAACGAGTATTGCAAGGTCAGCGAAGTTTTTGCCAGCAGCTCTAGAGAGGTTTTCACATTCCGCTGGTAAAATCAGGGGCTGGGTATAAATGAACACAGCACAATTTTGCCCTTCTGCGTTTGCGTACGAAATTCTGATCCTCTCAGGGTCACCGGATTAACTCCAATAAAGAATTCAGTCACCGGTCCCAGCCATAATATCTCAGGGTATTGCACAATCTCAACGGACATACTTGCCAAGAGGGCAGTTTTTGCATGCCACGACCTACGTGTCAATTATGCACATGCACAGATATCGTGTTCTTCAGCAACGGTGGTTGAGGAGCTGGTGGCTGCTACTCTCTATTTGCTTTAGAAAAATTTTCAAATATACCGGTCCGTATGCTGATGTATGTTAATAGGCACATAACTAGTCTAACTACGAATTGCAGCATATGTGCAGCGCATGATTCTTCTGTTCTTAATCGTCTAGGGAGCATAATACTTAAATGATTAATTAATTTTAAGTAAATCGTTGATTCATTGTAATACTGAAATTTGCTTATCATTTTAACAAAAAATAATTAATTAATTATTGCACAGTTCATACTAATTCCATGTGATATGATGTGATACTGCCCAATGCTATAGTTTATCAGTTTAATATATTTTCACCGGATAATAGCA